AGGCCTCCAGAAGGCAAGCGTGGGCTTGGAGTGTTCTCTCACCTTTGCTCGTGCAATGTAAAAGTGGTTATAACATCACCTCCTAAAATGTAGGGATGCTATGAAGATTACATCCAGATATGGTAAAAATAAGCCTTGAAATAAAAGGAAAACGTTCCCTGTTGTAATGTTAGTTGAATCGGTTTGCTTTTCTCAAAAGCTTCATAGAAAGCATCTCTCTTTTTGTCACACCTTGGCTAGTTATTGTCCAAAAGCAAAGAAGAAAAAGTACTAGAAGGGCGGCCGGTTAGCGCAGTTGGTTAGAGCGCAGTGCTCATAACACCAAGGTTGCCGGTTCCATTCCCACACGGGCCACTGAGCTGTGACCTCCACAGCTACAATAAAAGAATACTCGACTTGGAGCTGATGGGTCCCGGGAAAACACTCTGTTTCCCAATAAATAAAATTAAAAAAACAAACAAACAGAAACAAACAAACAAACAAGTACCAGAGAAGCCCTTACGCTAACATCCCAATGCTAATGTAGACATTGCCAGTGGTGGTAGTCTGTCATCCTGCATCATTCATTCTTCCTTATTGAGCTGTGAAGAGGCCTCAGGACCCCTCCCTACAGGTGGCCATTCCACATCTACTCCAGAGGGCTCTTGTCCTAAAGTGCAGGCAGGGATATGTTATCAATGGAAAAAATCACATGATAAGTTTCACTTTAATTTTTGATTTGGGTAAAATTCTGGCTCCTAGGGATGGAGATGAACTACATATTTGGGGGGAAAGGAAGAATGGTAGTCAGGCAGTACTGCATAAAGTATGTATAGATTATATGTTTTTAGAAGTTATAGCCACACTACATTTGTTATTTTAAAATGTATTATGTTCTTATATGTAACTGTTATTAGCTTGTATGTTTTATGTCTTTGATTAAAACTGGATTTATAGTACAAAAGGATGCCAAATATAACATGGCTCTCATTAGTAGACCCCATCTAGGTCACAGTTCAAATCATGCCATTTGAAAAACTAGCAGCTATTTGTATGTAAAGCCTGATATCACATAGACAAGGTAGGTACTCATTTTATTTCTTACCACCAGTAACATAAAAGATTTTAATATGACTTTATAAGATGGTCTGTTTTGAAAACAAAATTACAAAACTATATGTATATGTAAAGTTCATTAATGCTGAGTTAGATTCAATTGTGCCATCTTGAATTCTAGAACCGAACCACAATGGAGGCTATCTTTTTATTTCACAACATTAACTATATTTAGCAGAATCAAAGTTCCCTTTTCTTATAAACTAGGATTTTTGTACCCTGTTTTCTGTGGTCACTGTCTTTTATCTATTATCTTACCAATTATTTTCTGTATCAATACACTCTACCCATCTTACAGAATAGCCTCCAGATCAGTGCTATCCAATAGAAATAAAATGTTAAATGCATAGGTAATTTGAAATTTTTGCACTAACATTTAAACAATAAAAAAGGAATAGATGAAACTATTATATAATATATTTAAGTCAAAATACTATTGTTTTAATACAATCAATATAAAATTAGGCAACTTTTTACTGTTTTCATACTAAATGTTTGAAATTTGCTGTTTTATAGTTCATATCTCAATTCAGACTAACTGTATTAAAAGTACTACCTATATCTACATGTTGCTAGTGGCTAATGTTTTGGGTAGCATAGATCTAGAATGTAGTTTTTTATCTGCTGGGAAGAGGCTTTCTCTGAATCTTACAACTATCAATGACAAAAAATGCTTCATCTAGGTCAGCAAAAAATATGATGGTAGACCATGGATTTTTCTATACTGAAATGAACAGAATTAGATCTCCTCTTAGTGATTAATTACAAATTAGCCGTAACAACCACTAGTCTATAGACTGCTTAGGGGGTCTTCTTCCTCTAAATTGAAGTATATTTACTAGATAATTCACTTTCCTCCAGTACAGTCATGAATACCATGAATCCAGATGGTGAATACTTTTCTGGTCTTTAAAGATAATGGAAACTGCATTTGGCAGAAAATACAATAATAAAGGAAATATAACAATAAGGGGAGAACTTATATACTTATTTAATCTCTATTAAGTGAATGACAAAATGAAATTTTTCTTCAAAAGAATACACAAAAATGTTTCTTTTTTCTAAGAAACTCATTTTAGTTATTTTGATTAGAGAACACCACCAGTAAAATATTAAACTATATTCTATATGTTTAATTTTACTATTCTAAACTTTAAATCAATGCAACCCAGGTTTTGAGAAAATATGAGTAAATTATGAAATAAGAGAAAATCATGGCAATGACCAATTCCAATAACTAAACAACATAATCAAGAAATATAAGAACCAAAGCTTATTATGTTGATAATGTGAAGATTTAAAATTAGACAAGATCTCTTAAAACACTGCTATTTATTGTTTATTTGCAATTTTAATTTCAAAAACCTTTTAATCCCTGTCTGTCTTCCAACAACATATTGTTTCAGGTTAAAAATGCCTTCTTCGGGCCGGCCGAATGGCGCGTTGGTTAAGAGCTGGCTTGGGACGCCAGCTCTGAGCATCAGCGCCCCGGTTCGGATCCCACATGAGGGCCAGTAACGCTGCGCCCTCTACAGCTAAGATGATGAACAACAGCTCGACCTGGAGCTGGGCTGCTGTGAGTCACTGGCGTCAGGTAGACTGCAGCCCCTCCTGCAGTAGGCTGCCATAAGCAACTGTGTGTGGTCAGCAGCCCGAGTGAGCTGCTAAGAGCTGCTGTGAGTGGCTGTCCAGAGGCCGGCAACCGATCTGCCTCACCTGGGAAGAGCACAATTGATAATACCAACATGCGCCAGTGAAGCGACATCCTCTACAACTAGACTGAAGAACAAGAGGACAGCACTTGTCTGTTCCCCTTCCCCTGTTTCCCCAGCGCTGCTCCCTTCTCCCAATTCCCCAATAAAAACAAAACAAAACAAAACAAAACCCTTCTTCCTTGTTTTCTCCAAAAAAAGAAAAACTCAAAACTAATTTCCAAGAATCCTGGCGTATTCTTTCTTCTGCCTTTTTTTCTTTCTTTTTTTCAAGCTGAGCCATCCTGCCACCTGTTGGCAGCTCAGCAGCTCCTCAGTGGCTGCTCAGCTCGGGCTGGGATTGAACCGCTGTTGCTCAGAGCTCAAACTCTTGAGTGAGCTTTTAACCAATTGAGTCACTCAGCTGGCCCCTTTTTCTTTTTTTTAATGTGAGTGCTGTTCCTCTAAATAATGTATGAGCACAATAAAGAAATTAGGGTTTGATGCTTCCCACATCATCTAATAAGATCTCTTATAATTCACTATGTGTACAAAGATCTTGTTGGCAGACCTAACCTAGGGAAGGTGATATAAACCAATATAGTTAACTCTCAAATCAAGGCACTCTGGAATTTCCAAACACCCTACCTAACACTTCTATCAGCCTTTTTGTGATTAGTGATTCACTTTACCATTCTTATTAGAAAAGATGATGATTGCTTCTGGTAGCACTGGGAGAGGACAGGTAGGCAGGTGAGGATTGAGTTGGGAAGGGGTTGGGTAAAATGATCCAAATGTCATTATAGGTCCTGCACTTGCATAGTAGTGTTGTTTACTGTGCATCCATACGTTAGTTAACTAAGTGACAATTTAGGCTTATATTTTTAACTTCCCAAACTTAAAGACAAATATTTGCCCTAATGTCTCCCCAAAGGGACAGGATAAAGAATATCTCTTGGTTTGATTTCTTTCAGATTTTACTTAATTTTTAAAATGTATTCAATTGAAAATTTTACCTTTTCTATTTTTATAAACACTAATAAATTAGTATTAAAATGATAAGTTTGAACTCTGAAAGGTTTCTTAAATGATCATTTTAGGGCTGGACTTGATAAACAACACTACAAAGAATTTCCAATTTAACACCATAATTAGGAAACTATTTTATTGACATACATATCAAATGCTACGTAAAACTTAAGGAGCATCAGCATTTACCATCTTCCTCAAAATTAATATTATGAAACAATTACACAGATCACAGAATAAGGAAACTATAGATTAAATTATTTCTAGGCAATAAAATAGTTTAATCATAACCATCTCACTATTCACACTAGCCTTTCCACTTCATTGATTTGAGTGCACAAACCATAAAACCCCATCAATATCAGCTTTGATGTGGCTTTCTCCTGCAGGGTTCACAATAAGCAGAGATAAAGTATTTTCCATCATTACATTATGTTGGTTTTTGGATGCTGTTAGTAACAGTATGACATAACAGCTTGTTTATAAAGCAAATACACATAGAACTTACCTTCCAAAGCTCAATATCTAGGCCACACATATGAATATATGTGTTTTTTTTTAATTGATTGACAGTTCAAGGTTCATTAACATTTATCTCTCAATCAAGCTAAAAGAGATTTACAGGCTTGAAATGCAATAGAACTCCAAAAGTAGATAGGGTGGGGGGGGGTACAAACTAAATAAATGCATTTCTAAATCTGCTTAGTCATTTTCAGATAAAATATTTCAATAAAGTGTAAAGAAAACAAAGCGGGGAAAAATAAAACCTAAACCTCACTGGGTCCATTACATAGCGACACACTGGTAAGTCACAGGAGAACTTAGCTTTGTGAAAAAATCTCGACTCAGAAGAGTAAAAGATCCTAAGGAGCATTAAAGGCAAATGCAGCATTTTTGCACATTGTATTTACTACAGTAATAATAAAACTTGTCTGTCATTTTAGACAATATATTCATATTACAAAATTATAAGGTTGAGCTTTGAAGATGTTTTTAAATGATAATTTTAAGGCACCTTAACAAAAATTAAAATTACGGAGTACTTTGAATCAGTAAGAATAATGTTAATAATCCAGAATTAGCATCTACCTTTTATAAGAGTAACATACATCTGAATGAAACATTATACATAAAATACTCAATTAACTAAATTGATAAATACTCATATATTTCATTTTAATTTAAATAATGTATATTTTCTTAACATAACTCTAATCTAATGAAGATAACTTAAAAAAAGGCCATTTTCATTGTGTATCCTGAATTACTTTATATATGAGTTTACCTTTGAACTATCCAATTACATAATCTGGTCAAATAAAATTTAATACATTAGCTATTTACTAATACTATAAAGTGTCAATAAAATACAGTTATATGCTCCTATGTGTATGTTATTACAACTTATTATTCATTAACCAAAGCCATGTTTAATACATCATAAAATTTTAAACAAAAGAAGAAATTGGATATGCAAATTCCATTGCAATATTTCAAGAATTACTTTCTGGAGGCCATTCTACATCAATACAGGAACAGCAGCAAAACCGTATTTCACAAATGGGAAAGAAGATAACTCACCATAAAAAAAATATGAAATATGCATAATAATATAATTGAAATACAGTTGTCTAAAACCTTGTATCCAATCGGTAACCTGATCAGATATCCACAGACCTCTTGAAAAGAAATTGTGCGCCATTTGCTGTTGTGCACCATTTGCTGAAGCTTGAAAGATTAGTGTGAAGTTTTCGCCTTCTTCTTGCCACTCCCCCATCCGCCACTGAGTTGCACGGGATTGTCACGGAATGACATGCGTTCTTTCTTAGAAGGTCCTGTATTTGTTATCACTGGTGCAAGTATTCCTTTAATTGAAAAACCTAGACAGTGATATTAAGTGTACATTTTCACTTAACTTGATCCAAGTAAACTTATGCTTTAAAGAAATATATTTGTCAACAACATGCATTTTAAAACTATGTGATCTTTGAGTTTAAAAAAAGTATATTGAGTTTCCTTTTTATTTGCAAAGTAACATAATTAAAGTTTTGGATAAATTATATTTTGGTTAAATAAGAGGAACTGAATAAAAAAGTTAAATAGATATAATAGTTTCCTTCTATCTGCAATTCAGATATCCCTAGTATTTCAAGACTGAGATAATATATTGTCTTAGTATTTAGATATTTAAATTTGTTTATATTTTCATAGTTTAAATTTTTGTAATTGCTTACATTTTCATAAAAATGTGTTAAAATTAGTTTTAGAAATAGTCTGATTGAATTAAAAACTTCTTCAGAAAAAACAATTTTAGGTAAAATGGGAAACATACTAGGATCTAGAATCTAAAGATATTCATGGGTTCTATCTAGTCTTTCTGCGTAAAACACAGCTTTGTGACTCTGGACAGGCCTCAGTCTTTCTGAGCCTTAGTTTTATAAATGAGCGAAATGATCTGCATTGTAGGGTTGTCATGGAGATTGCTTCTGATCAGATTTCAGTGGCGGTAAGACCTGTGAGAGTGCTTTGTAAACAGGTGCTCTGAACGGAAGAAATTATTATTTGTATTCAACAAATCAGAATTTCTCTAGAGAAAAAGGTAACGAAAACTGTTGGAGGTTAAAAACAAATAGCAATTGGAAGAATGGGGTAGTGGATTAGGAATGTTTTACTCGGAAATACCCCAAGATGCTGTATCAAGAATACTATTAAAGAATTATGATCATCTGCTTTAAATATCCTGAGGAGTAAGCCAGCACACAGGGCTGCATCTGTGGGGAAGAGGTTTGAAAACCAGCAGGATGAGGCGGTCCAGAGCAGCCTCAGTACCGGCTGGAGCAGAGGTTCAAGCCACGTGACTCTCCATTGTGACAGTTCTGTGCTTTACATAAATTTGGGCGGGGGGGATATCAAATTCTCCCCCCCCCCCCGAAACCAATACTTCCCTAACTAAAATTTTCGATATTTTAAACCTATATCTCCATGTAGATAGGCTAGGAAACCTATGGTACAACATGATGGTGAATATTAATTGTAAAAGTCCACTTTATATTTCAAAGCTCTTTGAAAATAGAGTATCGCCTTTTGGTTTTTAATCTTGAAACTGCGATTAGGAAACCAAACTCAGAGGAGTTAATGAGCCTCTATAAATGGAGCCTATTTTACTGTTAGTCTACAAAGAGAACATGACTGAAGGGTAGGGAAAAATGAAAAGCGATTGTGTGCTAGGCACCCAGAGGGGAATGGCTACAGGCAGAAGTCTGCAATGGCGTTAGAGACAGGGCATACATAGCCCAGGAGCTGAGAGACCTCCACAGCTGGCCCTGAAGGCTCTCTCAGCAGAGAGAACAGCTAGGAGATGCCAAGTGGAGCTGGCTTTCATGTGCCGGCCAGGCTGAGCCCGCATTAAGCTCCTCCCTGTCAGTCAGTCAGTAGTTCTTTGTGAAACTCTTTCAAGCAACAGGAGTATTACTGGTGCAGAAAAGCAAGAATTTCCTAATGATAAAATAGTAGCCTAAAAAACGTAAGAAAGCATGCTAAAAGCTTATCCGCTTTCTGTTTACTAGTTACATAATGGAAATATATTTTTTCCACATAACAGAATGGAATGTCTAGTTTGGTCTATTTTAAAAAATCCAACAAACCATTAACAGTGAACCCTCCTCTTGCCCAGCAGTAAGAATTCTTTGATGAATAAACTATATAGTTGATAGCAAGTAGGTATTTACTAGAGCACATTATTTAGGGAGAATGCTGAGACTGGAGGGTTGGGGGAGCAGGGAGGTCTGAGAAATGAACAGTATTGGGACACATTTAGAATTCAGATGTACTTATTTTAGGGGGAAAAATAGAGATATACAAAAGAGTGGATTTCCACAAATGGCTAACACAAATGTTTTGTTTCAATAGAGAAAGCTAAATCAAGTTCCTTGCAAGCATTATTCAATGTAATAAGTAAAAACAAGTGTGTATTTTAAAGTATAATGCAATAACATAGTTCATTATTGGTTAATACTTTTGATGAAAGAATCTTAGTAGTATTAAGATGTATCATTTAATGCCTTTATTCTTAATATAAGGATTTTATCAAAGATTGTAAATAATACATATGTAAGAAGGGTAGCACTTCTGTATAAAGTATTGAAATAGTTACAGATAATTTCATATACTAAAATAATTACTTCAAAATGAAATAAATGGAATTACATTAAAATACAGCTTTTCTTTTGTCCAGATCAAATCCTAATTTTAAACAGTGTTTCTACATTCTAAAGGATTTTTCTATTGACTACAAATTTACTGTATGGTACAAGTTTACTTATTTATTTTTTTCCCTGATACTGTTCTGTTGTCTTTGTTATTTTGAAGCTGCTACTGAATTGTCACGTCTTTTTGTACTTAATGTAACCCTAAATTTAAAAGGAAGTTTGTAAATATTTCATTGTTTAGTGTAATTCTTTCAGCAAATAATAATTATAATTTAAAAAGAACCACATTGTGTGACAGTACAAGGCAGCTTTACAGCAATTTTGAAGTATATTTTCAGTGGAATGAAAATGCTGTAGGAAATTCGTCTTTAAAATTACATAAACGCATGTGAATGCACACTTCTTGAAAACAACAATATTTTCGATGTGATTAAAAGCTTGTATTTTATTGTTTTGCTATGTAGAAACAATTTGAACAGTAATCAATATAGCTTATTCTCTCATTGCATTTAGTGAGATTATTTTTGTTATCATATAAATTCTTGAACCACCAGATATATAGAAAATAAATTGAGGAGTAAAACAACACATCTATGAAGGAACCACATATTGACATTCAGTGCAAAGCTATTACTTTGTCCTGTGATTACTCTAGAAATAATAATAAAAAAGAAGCAATTTAATACAGTCAATATATAATCATTCTAAAATTACTTACCCACATGAAAATACAATAGTGAGAGAATCTTGCTTCAAAAAATTGATATTTGAGCTAGACCTGCTGATGGGTTCCTGGAATTAAAAAAATTACGGACTAAAGGAGCTTTGACAGTTTTTTTTTTCTTTCCTGCAACATTATTGTTATAGATTTTATGTTTCTTTAACAACAGTTTGCTGCATATTTACAGGTGATCACACCAATCAACCAATTGTCTCTTACAAATATGCTGAAAGTGTGTCTTGATAAGTATGCTTTATCTTCTAATACGTCACTCCTTTGCCACATAATCTGCATTCTGCTAAAGATTTGTTCTGGTCTCATAAATACTTTTGTTTTGTTGTTAAATTCTTGGTTCTTTAACAAATGTCAAGGTCTATATATGCTGTGTTTTGATAAGTAATTCAATATGTAAAATGCTTTGAATGACTTTCCTGGTATGGATAGAAAAAAACCAACCCCCCCCCAAAAAAAAAAAAAACTTCGTTAAACAGGTCAAAATAAAAATTTCATGATGTATAGTAATACGTCATTAGATTTTCATTGATACACTTAACACTGTGTGTCTGGATATAGAAGTCATTTCAAAGCCCTTCCCATATTGTATTGCTTAACAGCAGATACAGCACAAGTAAAGCATGGAGAAACAAAAATATTCAACATTTTAATGAAAGTGACCAGAACAAATTTTTAGCAGCAAAGCATTTACATCACTTTAAGTGCTATGAATGAGTTACATTTGGCAAGTTTGAGGTTGAGGTAGATACTACAGTGTTCAAATAACAGTTGCTTTTTAAGGCCATTGCATAACCCAACCTTGAATTATAATGATCACTTACAGTGAACTTCAGGTAGATAGTTGAAAGTCTAACACTAAGAATGAAAACAAAATAAATAACCAAGAGGTTGTTTACATCATATTTGGATTTTCTCAATGTAACATGGTGATTTTGCTTATTTTTGAAATTGTTTTCAAGCTTCTTCAGTGAATAAAACTTTTTTATAAAACTTATAAAAAGATTAACAAAATGTCTGATTTTCGAAATCCCAATTGGACAATGACATTTAGTTATTCTTCTTACCCAATATTTAAGAGACATACAAATAATAAAACAAGTTTGCTACATTTGATATCCACAAAAATATACACAGTATTTATTATTGTTGCTAAAAGTCACAATGCCTGTTATTTCTTTTTAAATTAACATGTGTGACATATAATTAGCGTCTCTATGCACATTTATTTTGAAAAAACAATTCTTAATGATAAAAGCTAATACATATATAGGATGGGGAATCTTATTTTGGTAGCTATTGTATAGATTTTTCTTCTGTATTTTGCCTATTTCTTGATCTTTTATAATAGCTACTATTAATATTTGATCTACAATCTTTGCGGCCTCCTTATAATATGCACCTGTTTTTCCAGGTGCATATTATTTTTCTTTTAACACACTGCTGTGTTTATTTCTTCTTAAAGATACCTTGTGACTGTCTATGCACAGACAAAGGTGGCTAGCATGTGGTGCTAAAAATACTGTCCTGTTTCTATACATTCTGTGGATCTTATACAACAGAATTTTTGTTCTTTTTTTTTTGGGGGGGGGGAAGGAACACTTTTTTTTGAGTGATTTAATTTTGGTTGCAAAATCTAAATAGGTTTTGTGATTTTTTTCCCCCAGAATTACATTTGCTTTCTGTCATGTGGCCCTTAAGTTAACTAAAACACTCTTCATTGCATATAACTCTGGTTATTACAGTTTTCTGGTTTCTCATGGAGCTAGTAGATACTTATTGAGGGGGACAGTCCCCTCTTACCCATGGGAAGTACGTTGCAAGACCCCCAGTGGATGCCTGAAACCTCAGATAGTACTGATTCATATATATATACATATATATATATATATATGATTCATATATATATATGTATATATATGTATATATATATGAATGC